AGCTTTTTCATATCGTTCCCTCTCACTACTCAAACGTTGGGATCTCTGTCAGAATTTAGTACGTCATTTCTGGAACCGATGGTCAGAGGAGTATCTCACATCACTCAACCGATACAATCAATGGTACCGACAAACAAAGAATTTAGAGGTTGGGGACATAGTTCTATTAAAAGAGGATGGCATAGTTCCTACTGCGTGGCCTATGGCTCGTATCGTCAATGTTTACCCTGGAAAAGATTCACTAGTTCGTGTTGTGTCTGTTAAAACAGTCAAAGGAGTGTACAAGCGACCCGTGAGTAAAGTTGCTCTATTATTATCATCTGACTCTAATGTTGAATATTGAATGATTATGTGTATATGTTTGTTTTGCTTGTTATTATTATTATGTATTGTATCACTCCTCCTTTCTCTCTCTTTAAGACAGTGTGTCTTAGGCCGGCGGTATGTTGGCACTTGTATGATTTCAATTTAATTTCAATTTTTCTGTACTTATAATAAGAAAGTTTTTTGGTATGATAACTTGAGCTACCAACTTCACGTGGCTGGATAGAAAGCTGCATTTCTTGTACATAGCTGCCCTAACTCACATCAACACTAATAGTAATAGACTCTGTCAAACTCATAGCCAGTAAATCTGATGATACTACACATGTGAATATCTTGTTATTATGAGAGAGCATCACTGGATTAATGATCAGTTCATTGCTATCACTATTGAATGATGATGAATGCCACTTTACTTCACTGTTATGGATGGAGGGCATTGTAGTACAGCTAATACTGACACTACTACCAACAATGAGGTTAATGTATTGACCAGTAACTATGATAACAGGTTCTAAAATGACTAAATAAACTTAAATTGAGTATAATTTCTATTTTACTTTGGACTATAAGAGAAACACTTCCCAAACCACAAGTATAGTTTCCAGTATCAGTGCTCCTCACTTCTTGTATAGTCAGTGTACCACTAGTAGTATTGATATTGTAATGAATATCATCATTACTGATATCAGTTCCATTTAGTTTCCACTGTACTATATGATTTAGTGTACATTGAAAAGCAACACATTCACCAATTGATACTCTTGTTTCAATACTAGGGTTTCCATTTAATGGTACAATTTGATTACACGTAGCTATAAAGTATAGAAATTATAAACCATAATTTTAATCTTTTAGTATTAAAGAACTATTAAGGATTTATGATGAGCATGCACTATGGACAAATGAATGAAGTTTAACTTGAAATACACAAGTACAAGCTTATACATGCATACCAGGTATTGACATTAAAATTTATGTAGCAGTGAAGCTTAAATATGACTAGATATTGTGGTGAAATGAATGGATTAAAGTTCATTTCATACATTAAACTAGTATATGACTATACATTTACCTTCACAATTTGAAAGTGTAACTATGATCAATAATATCAACAAAGGAAAGAAACAGTACTCCATCTTGCTAGGGCCCAACAAAACCTCAACCCACAGTTGCACTATTCTGGTTGGTCAGGTGCACAATAGGGAGGGACTGTGGGTTGAATACATATTGTTAACAATAACTTACTGGATTGTTTCCCTATATGGGGATAATGTTTGCACATCTGCAGTTAACATTAGAAAATAAACTATCATAATATTCAAATTGTGTACCTCATCACTCTCTCTTTCTATAGAAACTGCACATTCATTGTTGCGCTGTGTTGGAATCAAGGCACATATATGGCTTGGTACAATGGTACTTACCAATTTATAATCTGTTATAGTACGGCAATGGTCATTGACAAACAAGAGTACTGGTATATGCATGAATTCTTGACCTTGTTGTCCTGAAACATTGAGCAATAGATCTACTATAAACAACAACATTAGCTGCAAAATAATAATGATTTTAGTATCACAAACAAACAGCATCTACTGGTACACCCACTCAAAGCGTTGGCTGACACAAGTCAAGGTTGCCACATCATAAAAAAAGTGAATTTTTGGACTTTTTCATAAACTTTTCATAAACTTTTTATGAACATTTCAATGTGATAGCATCAACATGCATGAACAATGATGGTTTGCATGGCATAGCATCTGTTTTATGCACTGATACATGCCAAACAAGCTCAGTTGACTGTAGCAGCTATGCCATTAATTAAAAATTTCAAAATTCTGACTATTCTGTAAATGGAAGCTCTACTGAACTCAAGAGTGAATGTGACATCACTACATCTAGGAGAAAAAGGAATAAGATACTAGCTATAAATCTAAATCTCACTAGCATCATAAATCTGGTGACTAAGAAAGCTGGCATCAAGTTCAAGCTCGAGTAGCCTTAGGGTTCAGAAAAGTTATTTCATCAGACATATCGTGTCCACTAAACCACCTGGAGGAGGGAATGCATTAGATTCACATAAGAGAAAAAAAAAGACTGAACCCATTCACATACATTAGAAAAAAATCAGCGGGGATCCT